GCTTGTGGTGAGTGCAACATTCAAACGAAGTGTAGTGGTCTCAAGTATTGTCTTTCCTCTATTCATGAAATTGAATAGTTTTGCTTACGATTCCCACTGAAGCTCTATGGAGGGGGAAAGTACTGTTAACTGATATGATCTGAAGTTGTTACAGTTCCTTTGGATATAACTCGGCTGTTCAATAACGTGCTACTTCAACAAACACAACCACTGGATTCTCGCAACAAAGAAACGATGACCTATATTTATACGAAATGGTAATATTTTATGTTCCTGAACTTGCATTAGGACAGTCAGAGACCAGCGCTCTTTAGATGAAGACTCTGCTATCTCACTATTTAGCTGGTCTATGAGATGCCTTTTCATAAACTTGGCGTACAAATATAAAGAATTCCTCTTCCGATTCTTTTTCGAGCGATTATTTTTTGTGATGATTTGTCTACAACTTCAATGTGTTTAAAATTATTCCCATCCCACTCGATGTCTGCATGTTCAGGTATTTGGAAGTAGTTTTGCGGCGTGCTTCTGCTGGTCACATGCTGTGGAGTGAACACCTGCAGGCAATGATTTCGAGCGGGGAAGGAAACGACTTCGCACCAGAACAGTACACCGACCCAAGAGGTATTGTCCTTCTGAGTTCTATGATGCTTTTTCTAAGAGTCTACAAATTGAAATGTTCAGAACTGCGATGCCTGGCTCAAATCATCGGTCCCTACGGAGTAAAATACCTTGCAGAGAGGTTGACATGGCATGTCGCGAGTCAAATAGGCGAATTAAACAAAGTGAGTATTCATAATGAGAGCATCCATGCTCTTTTAATTTATTTTCTGTTAACACCTTTACTGAATGATTCCTTTTTATAGATTGTTGTCGCAAATAAAGAAGTTTTGCACACAGCGAGAACTCAGTTCGATTGTAACGAACGTATGAAAGAAGTCATTCAAATGCTTTCTCATGAGCCAAAGGAGAAAAAAGTGAGTAATTATTCAAATCAAGGGCAGTGCTCCTGAACGTTTATGCATATTCAAAAAACAAAAAGTAGCGGTTATGGCAACTTTTGAGGGAGCTGGAACCTCGGCCTCTGACGCGATTCTTCAACGAACAGCAATTATTGGTCAAATATTCAGCTTCAGGGATGCCTTACAAGTGGCATTGGAACAGGTTAGAAACCTAGGCTCTTAAGAGCTGGCTGTTGCTTCGATAAGTTATACTTGCTCGAGTCATATATCATAGAAGCTCTCCAACTTTTACGTTTTTATTAAATGTGGCTGAGAATTCAGACAGAAATTCTTTGAAATCGACTACCTTTATATCTTTCGGACAGTATTTTACATTCATATCATTAACGTGTGATCTATTCTTTTTATGTTTATGTCTAGTGTGCTTATTACTTGCCCCATAAAAATCCTGAAAAGCTCCATCGTTCAAGGTTTTGCTTAACCGATTGCCTTTCCTGATGTCCTCGTTTATGAACTTGTATAGCAGCATGGACGACGCTGGCAAATCGGTAAGTATAGACAATTGAAAATGAATTGGATTGACAGAGTGTAATACAACATTTTCAGGCGCTAGGTGAATTAGGTAATGCTATGGGTGTGCAAGGTCCTGTCGATGTCGCCTTGGCGAACGCTGTGCGAGCGCAGAGTCTGCAGGTGTTTATCTTTGTTATAAATGTGTAATGAATTGTGTAATGAATGGTTGTGAAGTGTATCCAGAAAACGAGCGTTCAACACTGCCTATTAAGTACCTCTTTTTGGAGATAGAACGTTCGAAATTCGAGAATGCGGATTGGATGTGGCGGAAAGTTGTGCCGATTTATACTGGATTGGTGCTGTCTAGCTGACGGCTACTTTTTGGTTCTCTCTAGCCTGCAGAGTAATTGAAAAGGGTGTACATGGGATACCGACCTATATCGCGTTGTAGTGTAGTCCACCGGGTATTCCTTGGTGTATTTTGACCTTCAAACTTTAAGAAAGTTAAGGAGATATGGTAAGATGGCTATAACGGTACGACCAATATCTATCAACCGTATTGATCAGTATCAAACAAAAAGGAGAGTTAATCATAAACCAGACGACGTGACTGCTAATAAGTTTACAAATTTCAGCTCAACCCTGACGAGCACTACCAAATGAGCTGTTTGCTACTAGTTGCGATAGCGATCAGTCTTCCGAAATTGGCACTCAATGAAACAGCAACGTATAAACCTAGTCTGCGAGGTGGGTTCTTTGGATATTAAGAACTAGCAGCATTTTTTACAGGAACGAAAATTCAGTACGGGAACGAGGTTCCTACAGTGACTTTGCGGTGAGATAAAATGCATTGGAAGCAGGGTTTAGGCAACTCATTTCGTTCGACAGGATGACTTGAGTTGGATAATTAACGACTTTGGGCAAGTGCACGGTTCGGGTAGGTAGGGTAAACACGGGGCTAGTTTACATCACGACCACGCGTTCGAGGCAGAGAACACCGCTGGATTACTGTAGGAATCGCTTCCCATGCAGGTTCCTGTTTATTTGCAAAGTTCTAATCAACTTGGTTTCAGCTAGCATGAATAATACTCACTGTATCCCGTTAGCTGTGAACACTATTGCGGGTGCATTGTTTCACTATCATGGGCGAGGAGACACTCACTTAAGAATGAAGGAGTTTCTGGCGGTTAGTGATCAAAACAATTATCATGCTATAGTAGTTTCTATTTCTGATAATTAGCTCTCAGAAACGAGTCTTTTTCGAGGTAATTGCTTACAAACAGTAGTAGGGTAAAATCTTGCTGTCCTTACTGTTCTGTGGGCCAAAAATCGTATGGTTGAGACATTTCCGTAAGCTCCCATTGTAGTAGTATAGATTTTGAAAAGTTTTTCAAACTCATTCAAACGATGTTTCCTACTATAATATGTATTTATGTACTCTGGTGCCGGTGTTTTCTTCAGTACATTTAATTCTAGAGGCTCGAAGAAATTGTGGTACATTATTGATAGAGTTTTTTTTTATTTAAGCTAGCATCGAGTAGCGTGTTGAGGGCAGCTCAAGAATTAGATGGGCGGCAGGATATTGTGAGCAACCAATCTGCGCTCTATATTCTACTTGAACAGGTACAGTCTATTCCATTTCTGAAAATGCTGTACAACATCAAAGATCTCCTTATTGTTACGACAGTCTCGAGGTGATAAGTATGCACCTGTAGCTCAGATGTTGGTCGTAATCTCTTATATTGTATTTTATGACATGTATATATGTTACACAGGCGAAGCGTCGGCGTCTATCCGATTCGCGTGCTTTCTTCAACTTTATCGCACTATTCTCCACCTTCTCTNCAACATCAAAGATCTCCTTATTGTTACGACAGTCTCGAGGTGATAAGTATGCACCTGTAGCTCAGATGTTGGTCGTAATTTCTTATATTGAATTTTGACATGTATATATGTTACACAGGCGAAGCGTCGGCGTCTATCCGATTCGCGTGCTTTCTTCAACTTTATCGCACTATTCTCCACCTTCTCTTTCATTTTTCTTAATAATCTGGATAACCCAAAATTATCGTGAACTGTGCCTTTGAGAGTGGCAGGGCATAAGATAAGCAAAGGCTTAAGCAGATGCCGACCAAATGCGAGTGAATGAGAGATACTCTCTTCCTCGATTATACCGAGTACCCTTCAACTTGCAATCTTGTCAACACAAAAATATGTCGAATGAACAGCATCTATTTTTAGACTTTTTTCTGCAAAATTTCCTGTTTCAGTTTGTGAACAAATGTCGTTGGTTATCAATGGACGTTTTGGAGGCTTGTTTCCCGTACAATCTCGTAAGGACAGCTTACCAGCACTGCTATCAGCAAGAGGCTGATACCTTCCAATGATACTTTTCACTATTCTTGAATCATTATCTTCGCTGTTGCTTCCTACTTCTCTTGTTATTCACTTGTATTTTACGATTGTTGGCTGTGTTGCCTCGCCATTGTTTTCGGTGTTTCTAACGTTATTATTTTCTCATGCTGTTGCATATTTATATCTCTTCAGTGACCGATTGTTCTAGTCTTTCCCTTGTAATTTATTACCTTGTTCTATCATAGTTTAATCCACTTGTTTACAGGTATTAATGCAGAGATACAATGTGCGATGTATAAAGCGCTTTTTGAGGATAGCTGAAGCGACATTCAGAGTTGGCGATTCATTTGACTTTTGGCTACACATACGGCAATCTTGAATCGACTGCTCGTTTTAAACGCACTATTTGCAGCTGCAGGCTCAGAAGCGGTTCTGCCTATGTCGCTACAGCGCAACGCTTTCTCAGACTATTGATTTTATCCTGATCAAAAGGCTTGTTGTAAGGCATCTTAAAGGTGGCGCAATACTTGACAATGTGATAGTCACGGGACCGCTAGCAGCAACAGATTTGGAGAGTGTGATACCAGACTCATTAAATTAGCGAAGTGATTCCATAATGGTGAAGTACCATGGTTCGAAGATGAAAAATCTGAAGGTCCCAGAGTGCCCTATCTCCTGGAACATAATACTGAATTAGTGGTGATGCGGATTATCGCCAACTTCGATGTTGACTAGCAGATTTCGCCTGAAAAATTGTAAGTGAGCACGACTGATTAACGCTCGGGTCGGTAACTTGAGTCATGCTCCGAAGACTGTATTGTGTTAAAGCCTTCCAAACGTCTCTTCTCCAGTGGAGCGGCTGATATCACGTTACGCGAGACGTCAGATTAATAAAGTTTATATTTAAGGCATGAATACAGAGAGAGGAAGTAAGAGGACCCATTGATATTTCGAAGTTACATCATCCTACTTTATATAATTCGCTAAGTGTGTCTGTTGGTGTGTCGGTGTGTTTGTGTGTGTGTTTGTGTGTGTGTGTCGGTGTGTGTGTTTGACCGGAAATTCATAACTCCTGTCTCCATGGACCTAGAGCGTTCAAATTTGGTAGGAGTAAGGGGGACAGGATGGGAACATCTACGGTAAGTGGCAGGATCGGACTCCGTTCACAAGAAGCGCGGCGTGCGCGTTATAAACTTTGGGCCGCAACTTCATAACTCATGTCCCCATGGACCTAGAGCGTTTAAATTTGGTAGGAGTAAGGGGGGCAGGATGAGAACATCTATGGAAAGTGGCAGGACCGGACTCCGTTCACAAGGAGCGCGGCGTGCGCGTTAGAAACTTTGGGCCGCAAATTCATAACTCATGCCCCCGTGGACCTAGAGCGTTTAAATTTGGTAGGAGCACAGGCGACGGGACGGGAACACTTATGGTGAGTGGCAGGACCGGAATCCGTGCACAGGGGGTAGGGTACTGCGCCGCAATAGTCAATTTGGCCCTAGGGTATGCAAACTTGGCAGGGGTACAGGCGGCAGGATGGGAACACTTATCGTAGATGGGAGGACCGGACCCCGCTTATAGAAGGCGAATTTTGCGCCAAAACTTCCAGTTTGTCTCCCAAGGCGTTCGAACTTGGTAGGAGGCAGTATGGGAACACTTATGGTGAGTAGTAGGGCCGGACTACGCCCCCAAAGAACAGGATTTCACGAAATAAATGAGTAGAAATCCTGATCCCGTGGACTCGGAGAGCAATCATTAGAAGGGGGACGATGGGAACAGTGACAATAGAAGAAGCCTTAGAGAAGAAGATCCACTCCCCAATCACCTCCTAGCGCCTTTGTTATTTACGGTCTAGCTTTGACTTTTTGATATGTTTCATTCGACAAGAAGATAAGAAGGAGATGAATTTGGTTCACTTCTTGCTATTAGATTACGACCGCTACCCAGCAGTGTTTGCGATTAAGTAAAAGATCACGGTTTCTTTTGCTTTGATATCATTCTTTGCAAAATTTATACACCGGTAATAATGTTGGATTCACATTT